GGAAAGAAAAATAAAGCGCAACACCATGTTTCAAATGTGAGTGGATCGAGTTATGTTTCAGCGCGCTGACCAACTGCGCCACGTGGTAGTTGTTGCCCACTAACAGAAAAACTATCCAGTTGACTTTTCTTTTAACCGCATTATCAAAATTAGCGTGGTTTTCTTCTCTCTTCGCTAGCACGATATCATTTTTGGTTCTTGTTCATCATAGAAAATCAAGATTTTTAACTCTTTTTTTACTAGAAGATGAAAACTAACTCTTTTTTTTACTACATACACTAGTATAAAAGGTTGTTTTATTGAGCTTCCCTAAAGCATCATCGACGTTTACCTACTACCGTGTGTCAGTTTTTTTAAGCACGTCATTAACATCATGTTGGCAACTACTCCTTCCGTTTCGAATTACTTGTCTTTGATTTATCTAGATACGGATGTATCTAGACTCATTTTAGTGCTAGATATTTCCATATCTAGACAAATCTAAGACAAGTAATTCGAAACGAAGGAAGTATAAAAGATGTCGAAAAGATGAAGAGGTGGCGGACGTCTCAAGAAGAACCAGGGCAAGACCACTGCTAGAGGTGGGACTTGAAGTCAATACATCACCATCAAGTAACTCCAGCAATAAACTAGACTAACCAATCAAATATATACTCTACTGTTTGACCCGACAATTGTTTTTGCTAAAACATACTCTGATAACTTTCTGTCTAAATAGCATGGTTATTTACGCACCACGGGCATGTAAACTTCCATACAAATATCAAGGTAACTGGCAAAATTGTTGTTAAAATATACCAATAATTTCTGTGTCAATAGTATGATAATTTGCACACCACGGACTAAAATAACTTACACACAAAAACCTGGTAACTTTTGACCGGGGAGAGGGAAGGGGGGGGTGGTGTTGAAACATAGCCCCGGTTAACTTCTCTGTAAATAGCACGGTAGTACGCTGTAGACCTGATAACTTACATATAAACACTATGGTACTTTTGATGTGAGATTAATTAGGCCATCGCATGTCAAAGCAGGCTAATCTCGTTGATGGGAAGCTCTAAGAAACGAATTGCTTCATGTGCACATGAGCACATCAAACGGACATCAATGCTCAGATAAAGATGGAAAATACAAGGGAAATGTTTCCAGACGGATGACCGGCCGAGCGCTCGGCTGGTCGCCCCTCGCTCGCTTGTATAAGGGGAAGCGGACTGGGCCACACGAGTTTGATGGGCCTTCAAGCGAGATGTCCCTTTTATTATATCTTTCGCTTTTTTTTTTTTTTTGCTTTCTTCTTCCTCTTGTCTTGTTGCTTCTCTCCTCTCTTGTTACACACAATAAGCTCGTCAGTGTTGACGGCACAACTTCCTGCTACTTCTGTGAGCACCCCCTTCCCCAACGCTGCAAGCATCTCCTTCCCCAAGCACCTCATACTGCCCCCGCCGATGCTACAACCGGAGAGATCTTTTGCTAGAATCTGTAACAATTTTTGTTGGAATTAGTGTTGCTTTTTTTTTGCTACGTGTGTGCTACAACCAGCTCTGTGCAACCACAAAGCTGCAACCGGCACCTAAGAAAGCTAAAACCGTCTACGAAAAAGCTTCAACCGGATGTGTCGGAAGCTGGGGGGCGGCCAGTGCTGCAACCGTTGATAGAAAAAGGTTCAACCATATATGAAAAAGCTTCAATCAGGCACTATGCAACGGAAAGAGTTGCAACCGTTGATAGAAAAGTTTCAACCCTAGATGAAAAAAGCTTCAACCAGACAGTGTGCAACAGAAAAGGTTACAACCATTGGTAGAAAAAGTTTCAACCGTAGATAATAAAGCTTCAACCGATGACCGACAATGGAAAAAAGCTTCTTAGAGGCTCGCGTTTCCACGGAAGCTGCAACCGGCATTGGCGGGTGCTGGAACTGGCAAAGACCAATGCTACAATGATGCTTCGGACGGTGATGGCGAAGCTGCAACCGTGCAATTCATAGCTACAACCCGGCATGAAAAAATTTGTGACCAGCGAGCACGGAAGCTGTGAGTGGTGACGAAAAAAGCTACAACCATCGAGCACAGAAGTTGCAACCGGCGACAAAAAAGCTACCACCGACGAGCCCAGAAGCTATGACCGGCGTGCAAAAAAGCAGCAACCGTCGAGTGATTTTGTCGCCCATGTCTGTTTACGAGAAGCTACTCACTCCGTTTTTTTCTATACTCCATCTAGACTTTCGCTCGCGCTGCCTCCAGGGGGGCGGCTCGGGCGAACCCTAGCCGCCGCCGCCCCCGACCCCCATCCACTTGCTTCCCCCGCCGCCGCCGGAGGAAGCCGGCGAGCGAAGCTCGTCCGGCGGACGGCGGTGGCGGGCTCGCCTCCTTTTCTCCTCGAGGGGGCCTCTGGCTGGCGCGCAGCGGTGCCCCTGGGCGCCATGCGGGGCGGCGGAGTCTGGATGCTGGGGCGGCGGCCCCAGGGGTTCTTGGCGGGGCTGGGCAACCACGGCTGCGTGGGCAGCGTGGGTGACCGGCCGTGGCTTCCGGTGGCGGCGGATCTGGGGTCCCTGTCCAGATCCGTTTTGCAGGGGTGATTTGGCGCCTCCTACTCCCCGGGGCGGCGGCCCCGGCCGATGGGCGCGGTGCAGCCGGCGGGCTGTGCCGGCGGGCTCTGGTGGGCAGCCTCCCACGGCCGCGCGGGCGGCGTGGGGGCTGCGGACGCTGGCGCAGTGGCGGCTCCTCGCAATCCGTCATGGCTCCATGTAGAAGATCCGCCCCTGCTTCGATCTGTCCCGATCCGTGCTGGTGCCGGTCCTTGGCGGCGGCTTCGGCGTCCCCTATGGCCGGCCTGGCGGATCTGGCGTGCGGGTGAGGTTCCGGGGGAAACCCCTGGCTGGCGCGGCAGCCTCCCCAAAGTCGATGCCTTTGGCGCCGATTCCCTTCCTGAAGGCTTCGGGGTGGATCCTCTCCCTTCCGCCTCCTCCTCGAGCTATGGCGAAAGCTTTTGTTCCCCTGGTCTGGGCGTCGACGGCACCCTGGTGTCGTGCTCCTTCTTGAAGGCGGCGGCTGGGAACAGCTCTTGGTGGCGGGGCTGCTGGTGGCGTGGTGGCGGTGCGCTTCGGCCTTCTACTTGGTGCCGCGCCTTGCTTCGCGGGACCAGCGGACGGTTTCTTAGGTGGAGCGGTGCTTCATCCATACATTGATGGCGACGGATCTTGACGGCGTGGCGCAGTGCAGATTCGGAGTTCGATGTGGGAGGATGGACTCGCGCAGGAGGACGACGCTGTCTGGCGTCGTGGTGGCGTTGATGGCAGTGAGGCCTGGCACGGTTCATGCAACAGTTCAGCTCTGAAGATGGATTGATGGTACGTGGTTGCGGCGGCCTCATACCCGGCAGGGGGCCTGGTTGACGAGCACGCCAGACTGGTGGGTACCCATACCCGGAAGGAGTCCTGGTTGGGACCTCAGGTCTAAGATGTTAGGTTTGGCTGCGAGGTCTGTTTGGTATTAGGCCCAGACCATCAGCGCCCCTTCATCAGTTAGATAGGAGTAGCGACAGAGATTGCGAAGATGGTGGCTTTGGTCTTACTGTTGTAGGACTTTGTAAGGTCTTGTGTTAATAATCAATAAAGTGGCCGTATGCATCGTCCAGATGTAGAGGCCGGGTATTCCCCTTTTTCGAAAAAAAAGAACAAAAAATGTCTGTTTACGAGAGCTTCCGCCTAGAGTTTCCAACGATCGACTCGAATCCAGTTGAAGCTAGCTCATCGTGCATGTGGTACTGTAGATCAATTAAGTTGTTTGCCTGCTTGCTTGTAAGTTAGCTTTGCACGTAGGACATACACTCTGACGATTTGATCTACGTTCTCCAACATGGAGCATGGTGTCTGGCGAGTGCGGATGGCGCGGCTAGTCGAGGACAAGCGCCGGCGGGCGCCAGTGGCCGGCAAGAGCGGGCGGCGCGTTGGACCGGCGAGCTGTGCGGGATTTTTTTTGCGTGTGTTCAGATCAGACGTTCAAGACAGGGAGACAAAGAAATCTAACGACGCAGGACGGCTTGATCCAATGTGCGTGTGCTGACAGGCCGAAATTTGGGCCAGTCCGCCGGCGTGTATCATTGCCCAAAATACAACGTGAACATAAAACAGTTTGCTAAGTCTCAATCGACTGAGACTTCGTTATGTCTCAGTCGATAGTATCTTCTTTTAATTTTCCATGAAGATTCGTGCAAAAAATTCTTTTTAGTTTTTTTTCTTTTTACATATTATATCATTTGACTTAGACTTGATTAAGTCTTAGTCGACTTAGACCTAGCCACACCCAACATAAAATTGTGGCGAGGACAATTTTATTCATGAAGTGAAGAGATAGACATTTCGCACCCCAAAAAAAGGAGATAGAAATTTCGTTCCAGTGCAATTATATACAGACAACGTTGATTTACTCCGGGAGTTTTGTATTGCGCATACAACATGGTCCAACGTTGACTTATTCCGGGAAACGGAAGATCCTAAATGCTATCTTGCGCCATTTGCACCGACAGCACAGCATCCTGTTCGTTCTTCTCACCGAGCTCGGAAGGCGGGGCCGTCGAGCTCGCGTCCCTCCCTTGGCTTCTCTGCTTCGACAGCTTCGTGACATAGCGGATCATGTCCGTCAGGTCGGAGTGCGACGACCCGCCTTCCTCCATGGCCGCCCTCGCCTCCGCGGCGACCTCGTTGGCCCTGACCCTCCTCGCCTCCCCCTCCGCCCCGCCGCCCATCAACTCCGCGATCGCCTTCTCCACGTCGCCGCTCGTCACCTGAACCCCCTCGGCCTCTTTCGGGAGGTACATGGCGGGGATCTTGACGCCGGACCTGACGCCCACGCCGAGCACGTCCACGAGCAGCTGCTCGCTGCAGAACTGGTCGGCGATGGTGGGCCACGTCAGAGCCGGCACGCCGTAGGAGACGGCCTCCAGCGTCGCGTTCCAGCCGCAGTGCGTGAGGAAGCCGCTCACCGCGGGGTGCGAGAGGATGGTCACCTGCGGCGCCCACCCGCGGACGAGGAGGCCCCTTCCTTGACGCGCGCCTCGAACCCCTCCTCGTCCAGCAGCGCCCGAACCGCGGCGTCCGCCTTGGCCTCCTTGATGGCCCACACGAACGCCCGCCCGGACGCCTCGAGGCCGCGCGCGAGCCCGGCGAGCTGCTTAGCCGTCAGCTGCGAGATGCTGCCGAAGCTGACGTACAGCACGGACGCGGGCGGCCGGGCGTCGAGCCACGTGACGATGTGCCCGGCGTCGACGTCGGCGCGGTTGCCGCGGCCGGCCTTGGCGTCGGCGTCGTCGGCCATGCTGCTGGAGGCGCAGGTCGGCCCGACGGTCCACGTCCTCTTGCCGAGGGCCGCCGCGTACGCGTCGACGAAGGCGCCCTCGATGCCGCGGAACGTGTTGAACAGCAGGCCGTCGGCGGTGGCCTCGGCATCGAGCGCTTCACGGTGCTCCTTCTCCACGCCGGGGTACTGGAAGAAGCCCCGGAGCGTGGCCATGTTGCCGGCGGCCCGCACCGGGAAGTCCGGCACCTCGAACGGCGCCATCACGTCTTCCCCGACGCGGTCGTACACGCCGTGGCTGGACAGGCGGTGCACGGCGAGCTGGAAGTAGACGGAGGGGCAGTGCATCACCAGCCTGGGGATGCCGAGACGTTCGCACACCGGCGCCGTCCACGGGTTGCACGCGTCGGTGACGAGGCAGACCGGCCGGCGCGGTAGCGCCCGGAGGTACTCCTCCAGCGGCTCGGCGATCTTCCATATGGCCTGGAAGAACCTGAGGTACATGGGCGGCTCGAGCCCCGCCATCTGGTCGATGGCCTCCACCCCCTCCGGCAGGCCGAGCTGCGCGCAGGGAAGGGGAGCTCGACGAACTCGACGGAGAGACCGGCCCTCCTGGCGCCGTCGACGGTGGCCCTGTTGCGCGCGGCGTTGACGGGCGTGGTGACCACGGTGACCCGCGGGCCGCGCGCGGCGACGAGGCGCGCCACGTCCACCATGGGGATGATGTGGCCCTGCGCCACCAGCGGCACCAGCACGAAGTGCAGCTCCTCCCAGATCGCCATCAATGGCGGCTCGATCCGAATCTAGCTACTTAGTGAGTGCGAGTGTGTGACGTTCATGGTGCGCCTACACGGCCGATGTCGAGGCTATATCAGCAGCTGGGTGACGTTCGTGGTGACGTGACGTGGGGAAAACGCAATGAATGGATCAAATTAGGCGGTGGAGATTAGACGTGGGGAAAACGCAATGAACGGAACGTGATAGTAGGAAGCAATGCGTGGTAAAAAAAAACGATCGTGGGCACCAAGTGGAGGCTCAGCTTGCGGTTGATCCGCTAGGGAAATAATTCCTATACGACCGGGTCGTATGGTTTTGATCGGGAGACCCACTCAGGGCATGTACAATCGTTTCGATGCTGGGTGTCTATAAAACTTGTCCATGTCACGTATAGACATAGTTAGAGACAGCCTATACAACAGCGGATCTATTTGATTGTTGATAATCACCAAATTTTATGGAAACGGCAGAGGTGGTTTCCGTGGAAGATGGGAGCCTATCCAACGACCCTCTCGGTACAAGAAACAGACTGTCGATAAGCAACGATTTCTCTACTATCTAAAAGAAACGGATACGTCGCTCGCGATCGTCGTCCCTTGTTCGCTTGCCCCGTCTAGACGCATATGGGCCAAGCCCCGCTAAAGCCCACATCGATCTGGCTAGGTAGGTTAGCGTCAGCTCCAACCCACCTCTCCCCATCGCTCCTCAGCCGCCGCTCTTCTTTCTGCCGCTCGACCCCCTCCGCCGCTGCCCGCCCTCCTCGGCCCGACCACACCGCCGCACTTGCCGCCGCGGCTGCTGGTCCGCCGAGGCCTACCGCCCCTAGCCCACATCGTGATGATCTCTCCGGTCTGGCGGCTGCGCCCATACCAGCCTCGCCGGCGTCGCGAGCGTTATCCACGTCGACCTCACCTCCCAAAAGCGGCGACGTGTCCTTCTCGTTGCTCCATCACGGTGCGCAAGATCGGCGAGTTGTGGCTGGTACTACATGAGGCGCCCGCGAAGAAGCAACTGAACTGGTTGGAGATGCGGCACCGGCCGAACAAGACCCATGGGTAATTGATTAATTAGTAACTATATAATCAGATGATTTCTTGGCAATTACTTGGGAGGCTGCATGGTGTTTCTTAGATGCCTTTTTTCCCTGTCATCAAAAGAATAGAGTGCCATATCATGATACAAATTCATCCAAACTCTTGTGTTTGTACTCAATTTGATTTCTATTTATGCATGATTAATCGTTACTGTTATGTTTGGTCATGCAGATTGCACGGAGAAACTCATGCAGATTGCTAGCTAGGAAACCATGGTCGTCATGAAAGCGAGGAAAGCAATCAAAAGATCAACTTCCGCGACCGCTGACGCCGGAGCCGGAGCCAGCAGCTCCATGTCCATGGCGCCTCCGCCCAGTCCCGGCGGGTTTAACGAACTCAAGCAGCCGTCGCCGCTGCCTCCCGACGTCTACTTCAACCCGACAAATGCGGATAGTATGGGGTTCCTCAACCGGTGGATCGCCGGCGACGACAAGATGCCGGACGCGCGGGGTTTCATCTTTCACATCGACATGTACGCCAACGGTCCCTGCGCGTTGCAGCAGCTTCACCCGCCGGCCAGCGCCCGCGCGGGCTAGCACACCTGATGGTTCCTCGGCGAGTCCAAGTTCCAGAGCCCGTGCGCGGCGACCAAGAACAAGCGCGCCGACTGCAGCGTCCAGACCGGCGGGTACTGGCGGCTGGAGCATACCAAGGAGGAGCTTCCTGAAGAGCGAGGGCTTAAGAATAGCTTCGGGTTCTACTGCGTCCCGTCCCCATCATAGAAGCGCAAGACGCCGTGGCTCATGCAGGAGTTCACCAGCGACAGGGATAGGGGCGCCGGCAGGAAGTGCGTGCCTGCGCTCCACAAGATATACGTCACGCCGCGCACCACCGACGAGGGTCTGAGGGGAGTCTACGGGGAGGACGGCGTGACGGGGGGCATCAAGAAGCTTGTCCCGGCAGACTATTTCGCCACTACCGCCACGTTGATGCCCCCGGGGAGTGTCCGTGTTCTCCGGCAAGAGCAAGATGAGCTGCCACAGGTGTCGAATCTGCCGCCTTCGCTCCCCGCCTCTTCCTCATTACGGCAGCGTGCGACGGCCAAAACTTCCTGAAGGTATTTGAATGTGGTATGGATCAATGGCATAACCATGTGTCTTCTGTAGCATATTGCTTAGATGTGAGGGGCAGTAGCAGTAAGGGCCTTCGTTGCCTTACGTCCTCTCTTTCCTCTAGCCTCCTCGAGTCCAGCGGCTGGAGTCCACATGACCAGTTTCCCCCCTTCGTGTGGGTGAGGCAAGGAGATGAACAGATCCGGCAAGCGCTTACAGAGAACGAGGCCAACGTTGTCGCTGCCAGCGGAGTCCACGCCATCGTCTACCTCATCTTGTCTTTCTGCGGTACGGCAAAACAAATCACGCTCAGTTCATTTCTGTACCCGCTTTTGTTCCAGTCATTTTTGGTTTCCAGGTTGATTCACTTTCCTATAGTTTCTACATTTGTATCATTTATTTCTGAAGTAATAGAGTAGGTTTGAGATTATGTTTTTCTGAACGGGTTGTATAGTATCTGTAGTTAATACTGTCCACCATAATTTACACTTTTCATTTGATAACGGAAATAATTGTAGGGAATAGCAAAGCATAAGCTCAAATGGTTTGGTTATTTAACTGGGTTTTCAGTTTTCTCATAGTCATCTACAGATTTGGACCAACAAGACATGATGGTCGGCGGGTTATTTAACTATGGTCTTTCTTCTTCATTATCAATTCGTCAGCTCTGCTGCTGGGAGCCGCGGACCTCATTGGAAAGGAAATAACTTGTAGAGGGCGTATAAGGAGATGCCAATGGAAAAGAGATGAGTTGAGTTTGTGTTTGGAGATCTCAATGAAAAAGAAATGAAGAGTGTAGAGTGGTAAGAGGAGGAATCGAGCCAAGTCCTATTTTATTTTATTTTGAGCTTGGAGCCAGTCCTATATTTGTCACAAGACGTGATAGACATTTGCTTGATGCCCATCCCCAAAAGGAAAATAAAAATATTTGATTGATGCATTCAGTTTTTTTATGGGGCTGAAAGAGTCTTGTTAGGGTGCACGTTCATTATAATAGAGGTGGAATTTTAATATAATCACCAGAAAGCTATATTATCATCCAGTGTAACTTTTCTTAATATATTTTGTATCCCGTAGCACTAACGGGTATTCACCTATAATAATATTAGAAAGTCAAGAATGTTGCCCTAAAGATATAGGTTAAACACATTCAACATATACCCCGTTACAATGCACGGGCAACTAAATCATGGGTACAAACTGATAAACATTTATATTCATATGAACAAGCAATAACAAACTAACATACTAGAATGTTTATATCCCGTTGCAATGCACGGGCATTGTCTTAGTTCACGCTAATAGACCATCGTTATTCTTACCGACGGACTTTGCCGTTTTCTTTTTCTCTTTCCTCCCACATCATCTAATTTTCTACGTGGGCTGAGTTGCAGACGGCTGACTAAACATTGTTGTACATGCCCTCAGCTGATTGGCACGTGGCAGTGTGAATCTCAATGCATCGAGGTACCTTCTTCTCTGATTCTCTGTTGTGAAAACCAACCATTGTTTCGTTCCCTTCATAATTGAGATCCCAAACCTGCCGCTGGTGCTCTGCCGCCGCCGGCCGATAGAGCTATGCTTCTTGCCGTCCGTGCGATTTCCCCTGCTCACCAAGCGTCCGTCTAGTCTGTTTGCCCCGTCGGTCGCGGCCAAACTTTTCGACGCCAGCAGAATCATGCTGCTCACACCCGCAGTCGAGGCCAAGCCGCTCGTCGCCGGCGTAACCCCGCTGCTCACCGTTGGCGTAACTGCTCGCCGCCGGCATGAGTCCTCTCTCTTGTCAAGGCACCGAGCAGTTTAAGAAAATGTAATATGAC